GTAGAAACGAAAATCTGCACTCTTGCTCTCTTCTCTCTTTTCTTTGATTCCCTTTGTCTGGAAACATTATGAAAGGAAAACCCATCCTTTTCCTTTTTGACCAGATACAAACTCCAAATTTAAAATAGGGTATATTCTAGAAACCAACCAAACTCAAACCGGTTAATCCAACCACCATATGAGTTGGACCAACCCAACAAACCATAACATACCAGCAACGGAAGAAAGATACTTCAGAGTGACATGGTATTAACTGGTTGAGAACAACTTACAAATAAGGGGTCTTTGAGGTGAATTAATCAGTGTACCTGTTGTGAAACTCCACATTAAAAATCGACAGACAGAGGAAGAGTCAGTACAGCACTCAATGAACCCCATAAAGGAGCTAGAAATCCACATCTTCTAAAAAACTCGACAATCCTCTCAATTAGGGAGCCTGAAGAAAACAGGGAGTAAGAGTTTTCTATTTTAATCGCAAGAGACTCACCCCCGAAGAAATTCGATTAGCAGGTAACCGTTAAGTGGACTCGGTATGTTGGGTCTCTGGTTTATTTCCCCTCCTTTTCACCATCTATCTCTGCGTGCCCAACAACTGTAATTGGACTTGCCACAGCAACCACCATCACCAGCAAAATCTGACTTGATTGAACTCCGGTTTACTCGTCGCTGGCCTGGCAGATCTGAGAAGAGAAGAATAAAGTGAGAAAGTGAGTCCCACCTGTATGCAAATTAGGGATTCCAACCATTAGATCAAAGTGAAACAGAGGTTCCTTTGACAACAAAAAGCGAGTACCACCTGCAAGCGAGTCCCAGCCCAGAAGTTCCTCCACCGAATGAATCTTTGACAACAAAAAAACTGATTAGATCAAATTGAAACAGAGGTAGAACCTTCAAATGAAATGGTGCTAACAGATTGAGAGCAACTTACTGAAGAGAATCTTGTAGATGAAGGATGCATTGAATCTGCGGGAACAAATTCATAGTTAAAAGCTGAGCTGCTCCACAGAAAACAAAGGAGAGAACGCAAGAAAGCTCACCTAAGGCTCTCTGTTTCGAGCAGTGCTGTCAAAGCCGAACCGAGCCGCCCGGCCGGACCGCCAAAGCCGTCACCCGGCCGTAAAACCGGCTCCGATCAGCTATTTAACCGCTACGGTTTTATACAGCGGCCGGCGAGCGGCCGAAGCGGTTAACCGCTCGAGCCGCTCAAGCCGGTCGCGCGGTTCGGCCGTTTGGTTTACCCTAAAAATGAGCGGGTCGCGCGGTTCGGCCGTTTGGTTTACCCTAAAAAAAAAAAGGCCAATCGTGGAATGGGGCAGCCAAACAAAACCCTAACTTTCATTTTATTTCTTCATCTTCGACCTAGAAGTAGAACAGACGACAGAGGGAGAGCGGCGCCACCCTGCCGCCGTCAACCATCGCCCCAGCGCTTCCGTCCCGTCGCCACAAGCAGCGTGCCATCCGACAGCGGGGTAATTCATCTCCCTTCTTCTTCTTCACTCTTTCCGTTGGTTCTGGGGATTTCTATGTTAGCATTTCTCTAGTGTGGGTATTATTGGGCTGTCGGTGGCGATTGGTTTACTGGGTATTTGATTAGTGGTGGATCTAGTAGTCGTTTGTCTGATCTTGACGTGATTAGCGTAGATTTTGAGATTTGCTGATAGGGGCAGCTAGTTTGCTTACGAAATGGACTGCTGGGGGATTAATCGATTAGATCTGTCTTCTATAAGTTTCAGAATGGTAGTGTTAGATTTTCCATTGTAAATTTCCTGATTTGATCTTTCTTTTGTAGATGAGTACTCCAAATCCAGATAGTGGTACTAGATTGATTAGGTACTGATTCTCAAACGGTTTTTAAACGGTCTAATGCCGGCTGGACCACTAATGACCGAGTCGTTCACGTTACCGGGTCATACTCCGGCTCGGCTTTGACAGCATTGGTTTCGAGGCTTCCCTGACCTTCTTTGTGATCCCCAGCACCGTCAAGCTACATTTTTCACTGCCCATCAATGGACTGACAAAAGAAAAGCGACAACCACCCACCTCCAAGAGTCATCGTGCATAATCTAAGCGGAAAAGTAATAATAACAAAGATAAACTGTAAGTATAAACGAACCCATAAAAAACAGAACACCCAGAACAACGAATAGCAGGAGAAACTCGAAAAGAACCTGTGGATCTGGACATTCTTCGAATCCTCTTTTTTCGGCCTCTCAATTCCGGCACCTGATCGCTTCGAGTTTCGTCTACCTCCCAACCGAGATGAGAGAAACCAACACAGATGAAGAATAAGTTAGAGAGAAACCACAATTCAGGGCCCAAAACAACAGTTTCATCCTTTCAAAATCGTAGATCTTACCAGCAAAAAATGTACTATCCGCCGGCTCCTGTAAGAGATCGAGCAAACCCACCGGGGAGCCAAAGGAACGATTGCCTGAATCTAAAGTGATAAAACAAACTCTGTGAGCAACAAACAGAATGAACAATAGGCTGAAACAAAAACACAAAGATTTGCAGCAAAACCACAGAGGAAAAATCGAATGACTTGCTCATCCATAGCAAAAGGGACTGAAAGAAGAAAAAATATGCAAAAAGTTAAAGAAGCTCACCCGAATCAGCATATCTGGTTCTGTTCAGGATCATGAGTGGAACTCCCATATCCGCCAACCAATCTCAGTAAAAACGGGCGGAAATATGCGGCGAGAACAGCGAGTGAACGCCACCGATGGTTGCTCTCCGTGCCGGAACAACGAAATTTAGAATAGAGAGAGACAGAGATGAGGAAGATGGGGATCATGAGAAGGACCGACGACTGTAGATCTGGAATCCCCTTTGGTTCTGAAATTTTTCCCCAAACCACAGAGTAGAGAGAAGGGAGTGGGAGAAGGACTGCAAGTGAAAGAGAGAGGAACTGAGGTTTTTGGTCAAAGCAGGAGAGTAGAGAGGGGAGTGGGAGAAGGAGAAGATAGTGAAAAGAGGTTAGACAAGGAGAATTCGGGAAAGAGACCAGAGAAAACAGAGTGAGTTAGAGAGAGAAGTGAAAAGGAAGAGCGGTTTCTCATGTTTCTGCCAGCACTGGGTTTTCACCCTCTCTCCTCTCGACTGATTGATTGGAAAAGGCTCCCTCTTGCTCCCTGACATCTCGAGACCTCCACCCATCAGAAGAAGCCCTAGGAGAAAAGAAAGAAGTCTTGAGACAGAAGAAGGTCTGGGAGAAAAGACAGCGAGAGGGAGAAGAGGATATCTAACCTGCTCCGCGGGCAACGCGCTTTGCTTCGCAAAGCAGCGCACAAAAGATCCGGCCCAGGCTAAAAAAAAACCGGGCAAAAACCGCCGGCCCAATCTCAACACTCTGAAAAAGCAACCGGGCCCGCAAAGCAGCGCACAAAAGATCCGGCCCAGGCTAAAAAAATCCGGGCAAAAACCGCCGGCCCAATCTCAACACTCTGAAAAAGCAACCGGGCCCACGCACAGGCAATGAGCCAATTAGGGGAGACTGTACATTAATTTTAGGTCTAAATGAATAGTGATTTTCAGTGTATGTGCACATTAGGTATGGTGTCTTTGGAAATAATGCTCTTTAATTAATATATAAAAATCTATTGAAGTTACTATTTATTAGTGGCTCCCAAATTCATCTAAGTGCAAGCGGAAAAGTTTCAAGTCCTTTTATCCCACTCCCTCATTCTACAACCTATGTGTTCATCTATCATCCGTCGGATCTACGTCTATTAGTCATTAGATTTCACATAGTAGTTATTATCTATTTAAGTTTTCATCTATTGTTCAATGTTTTACCTGTTGTATCAATTATCAATTAGGTTTTCGTCTATGAACTACCCAAATCATCGCCTTGGCCCACCTTATAGTATATAAAAGCCTAACATTGAAGTTACTATTTATTAGTGGCTCCCAAACTCCTCAAAGTGCAAGCGGAAAAGTTTCAAGTCCTTCTTTCATCCCACTCTCTCATTCTACAACCTATGTGTTCATCTATTGTCTGTCGGATCTACATCTATTAGTCATTAGGTTTCTCATAGTAGTTATTGTCTACTTAAGTTTTCATCTATTGTTCATTGTTTTCCCTGTTGTAGCAATTATGAATTAGGTTTTCGTCTATGATCTGCCGAAATCATCGCCTTCGCCCACCTTAATATATAAAAGCCTAACATTGAAGTTACTATTCATTAGTGGCTCCCAAACTCCTCAAAGTGAAAGCGAAAAAGTTTCAAGTCCTACTTTTATACCACTCTCTCATTCTACAACCTATGTATTCACCTATTGTCTGTCGGATCTACATCTATTAGTCATTAAGTTTCCCATAGTAGTTATTGTCTACTTAAGTTTTCATCTATTGTTCATTGTTTTCCCTATTGTAGTAATTATCAATTAGGTTTTCGTCTATGATCTACCCAAATCATCGCCTTCGCCCACCTTAATTATTAATATATAAAAGCCTAACATTGAAGTTACTATTCATTAGTGGCTCCCAAACTCATCCAAGTGCAAGTGGGGAAGTTTCAAGTCCTTCATTTATCCCACTCTCTCATTCTACAACCTATGTGTTCATCTATTATTCGTCGGGTCTACATCTATTAGTCATTAGGTCTCCCATAGTAGTTATTGTCTACTTAAGTTTTCATCTATTGTTCATTTTTCCCTTTTGTAGAAATTATCAATTAGGTTTTTGCCTACGATCTACCCAAATCATCGCCTTGGCCCACCAATTTGCAACCCATCTCGAAACACTATCGACGAAATCAGTAAACAATAGATGTTAATTACTATATAAAAGCCTAACATTGAAGTTACTATTCGTTAGTGGCTCTCAAACTCCTCCAAGTGCAAGTGGGAAAGGTTCAAGTCCTTCTTTTATCCCGGATGGCATCCTGGATGAGATCCATAGCTTAATCATCAACTTCTGGTGGGGTCAAAAAGGAACTGAAAGAAGAGCGCATTGGTTGCGCCGGGAAGAGCTAATTACCCCAAAGGAAGAAGTTGGGATGGGTTTTCGAGATATGAAAGGCTTCAACAAAGCTCTGTTGGTAAAGCAGCTGTGGTCGTTGAGTCAGCGGCCGGAGGCACTTATCTCAATACTTTTGAGAGCAAAATATCACAAACAATGCACGATTTTGGAAGCTCGGCTGGGCGGCCAACCTAGCTACATTTGGCGGAGCATCATAGGCGCTCAAGGATTCTTATGCCAGGGCCTTCGCTGGAGAGTTGGAAATGGAGCACAAGTCAGAATTTGGGGCGATAGTTGGCTGCCTGATGGGGAGGTCGCGTTCATTAATTCAGCCCCCAAAGTGCTGCCGGTTGACTCCTTTGTTCGTGAACTCATTGACCCGGTAACAAATCAATGGGATGTCGATTTAGTTGGGCGATGTTTCCCGGCGGAGATTGCAGAAGTGGTTTTGGCTATCCCTCTCCGTTCCAACGATGAGCAAGATCGGCTAATTTGGCGGCATAACTACCATGGTGGCTACACTGTACGAGATGGCTACAGCAAATGGCTGGACGATTTCAAGCAGAGGGAAGGAATAGTGACGCAAGGCAGCTCCGATTTTTGGAAGAAGGTCTGGAAGCTTAATATCCCACCAAAGGTACGGCACTTCCTATGTAAGTTCATTCGAGAAATTTTGCCGACGGGTGTGAAGGTCAATGCAAAGAATGACCAACGCAGCGAGACATGCCCTTTCTGTAATGAACTCGAGACTCAGAAGCACTATTTTCGCGAATGTGCGTGGAGTTCCAGGATATGGCGGGCGTCACCTTTCGCGGAGCTGTTCGAGACCCAGAACGTTGGGAATTGCCTTGAGTGGGTGGTTGAGGTAATGAAAGAGGCCAATCAGTCGACGGTCGAAGGTTGGGCGATGCTCCTGTGGGCACTGTGGAAGGCAAGAAATGCGCAACTATTTAATGGCGCAAAGTGGCCGGAGCATGAAATCATCCTGAAATCCCAGAGTATTTTGGAAGAGTACCAAATGCAGCAACAACGGAATTACAATATACCCGCTAGTACTGAGCAGACGAAGTGGAGAAGACCACCGACAGGCTGGACAAAGGTCAATACAGATGCAGGGATGTTAGCAGGAGGAGGGTTCGGACTGGGGGCGGTGATTCGTGATCACAATGGCAGGTTAATAGTGGCGTCCGCAAAGAACATTAGAGGTAGCCACACAGTTGAGATGGCGTAGACCCTTGCAGCGGAGTTTGGAGTTCAAATTGCAAATCAATTGGTTGTCCCCCTAGAATTGCTGAAGGCGCCATCAGCCACATTCGACGGGAGGCAAATCAGGCGGCGCACATTATGGCCCATAGCAAGACTAATTAGGAGACGAGAGAAGTTTGGCTCGATAGAGCGCCTGTTTTTTTGTTAGACCAGCTACGTCTGAATGATGTAGCCATTGACCTGATTTAATCTTCTTACAGGTCCCGTTAAAAAAAAAGTACTACCACATCGATCTGAAAAGCTAAGAAGATCAAAAAGGAAAGAGGTGCGATAACAAAGTATACTAACAGTTCCCATCGATGGATTCGGAAACAGTAATTCAGCTCCTGCAGGCTCAGCGCCAAGTTTGGGATCACTCCTTCGCTACATCAAGACCATGGCTGTCCAATCGGTCATGGAACTGGACATCCCAAGCGTGGTCCAGAGCCACGGGAAGCCCATCACCGTCGGCGAGCTGGGCTCGGCCCTGAAAATTGCACCGGCCAGAACCCCTTTCCTCGCCCGCCTCATGCGGATGCTGGCCCACATGGGCTACTTCGTGGAGAATCTCAAAGACGGCGATGATGAAACAGCCACGAGCTATTCCGCAACGCTGATGTGCGGGTTTCTGGTCAAAGACAGCCCTTTCAGCGCTGCAACGTGGTTCGTCCTGGCCAACGACCCGATCGCGGTGGACCCGTGGCGCTTGGATTCGTCAACACCCCCGCCGCCGCCGGCGTCGAAGATCTCCCGTTCACCCATGCTCACAACGGGAAGAAGCTGTACGAGGTGTGCAGGGATGTTCCGCGGATCGCGAAGATGATGAACGAAGGGATCGGAAGAGACATCTGGCTGTTCAGCAAGGCCCTGATGGCCAAGTGTGGGTCCCACTTCCGAGGACCTCGCGGAGGCCTTCCCGGGGATTCACTGCACCGTCTTCGATCTCGCCCAAGTGGTCTCTCCGGCTGGTGACGTGTTTCAAGAAATCCCTCCAGCTGATGCCGTCTTCCTCAAGGTAAGTTCTAGCAAGTCTTATGATGTCCCCTCTCACAACACACGAAGTGACGAAGAGTCATTTTTTTTTCTTCTTTTCACCTTTCAATGCATATAGTTTTGGGGAGCTTGTGAAATTGTTAAATTGAATGCTAATTATTCAAAAAAAAAAAAAAAAAAAATTGTACATGCAGTGGGTACTGTGCGATTGGAGCGACGAATCATGTGTGAAGATACTGAAGCAAGCCAAGGAAGCGGTGACGAGCAGCAACGGTGGGGTAAAGGTGATGATAGTAGAAATGGTGGGAGGGCACCAGAGCTGCAGCGATCGTGAAGCCACTGGAACACTCTTGTATCTTCACATGGTAATTATGATGACTGTTGAGGGTAAGGTAAGAACCGAACCACAGTTCGCCAAGCTCTTCTCTGACAGGGGCGGAACTAGGATTCGAGCTTCGGGGGGGCCGAAAATTTTTATTCGTATTACTGTAAGAGGCATAAAAACACAAAAATATAATTCCAACTTTAAAAAGAGTACTTTTAATCATCAAAATTGCCCAAGACACTTTTTTAAGACAATTAGATTGACTTCAAACACGATTTAAAACGAATAAATTATCATGTCATTTTGACTATAAATGAGTTTTACCAACAAAATTAATAATACATTCCAATACCTAACATGTTCCATGATTTTTATAGCTGAAAAATCAATGTGTACAATCTATTACAAGAAAAAAGTTACTCATTGTATATTCAAAATAGTCCTTAAAACATGTAATGCAAAGTTTACACCATTTTCTAGAGCTGAAATTGAAAAGAGAAAAAAAAACTCATTATATATATTCAAAAGAGTCCTTAAAACGTGGAATGCAAATTTGAAGAACTTAATTGATTTTAAAATTGAATTTTCGTGCCAAGTACAAGTAGAAAACAAAAAAGGTTAACATATGTCTGTCATGACCACCGAACCAGCATTCCCATGATTGTATCAGCATGTCCTTCCGTTAGGCTATACTGGTAAATGTGTTATAATTAGCGACTACTTTACGAACAACTTACACGTAACTTTCGAAATTCTGGGGGGCGGGGGCCCCGAGCCATAGTGTAGCTCCGCCCCTGTTCTCTGAAGCTGGATTCGCCAGTTACACCATTACCCCAGTTTGCGGCCTGCGAGTCCTCATTCAACTCTATCCTTAAATTAGTACGTTACATATCTATCAAAGGCGACTCAGATAATAAAGTATTCGAGGGTTTCGTAGCATCTACGAGCTCCCACACCTTATATACTATTTTAAGGAAAAGCCCTCTTAGCTTGCATGCATGATGGCCATTTAGCAATATACCAATGGTTTTGGCATAAATAAAAAAGAGTGTAACGTTACAGTAAAAAAAATAAAACTTCAAAAATTTTACTTGTGGTTTGCTAGCTGCGACCTTGCTACCTACGTGTGTTTAGTTCCACTGTCAATTATATATGTAATAGTGATGGGTAGATCTTTAACGATCTATATATAAGCCCGTTGAGCTCTATGAAACAATTAATACAATGCGGCTTGATTAGTGCGGTTCTTCGTCTGAGTTGTGGTTACTCTCATTTTAATATGATCTCTATGAACCCATTATTATTGGGGGATTCTGCAGTACCGTGACGGTGAACCGATCAAATTATTAATCTTATGGTGAGTAACCATGAGTAATCCGTCCACATTAGCATGACATCAGCATCCTTCTCTCTTGGAAACCCTTTAATTTTTCCCTTCTTAATCTTTGACGGACGATTTCTCACTCTTTTTAAGTCGAAATTTATTTTTTTACACAGTTAGATCAGATTAATTGTGCTCTTCAAAATAATATACGCTTTGATATATTTTTCGGAAAAAAAAAATTGTATTTACACCTACTCGGCTGCCAAACCTCTACTCTGCTTCTCCCATCGACCACGGTTTCCCATTGGCAAGCTGTCAGCTTTAAAAGCCGTATTTCTCTGGTTCGCGTACTCGCGGAAGTATAGAGGAAGAGAAATTTTCCGTCGGGTTTATTGTGTGCAGGGGAAGGGGTGTGCTGTGTACAGGCCGAAGGGGGAAGGGGTGTGCTTTTGTTGTTTTCTAATTAGTTGATATTGAACATAAATAAAATAATTAAAAACTAAATTAAGAGTAAATAAGGGGTAATAATGTAATTTCCTAGTTCATTTAACGGTCACTTAACCAAAAATTATATGGAAGGGTACACTTGTTACGTTTTAATATTAGAAGGATATGTTTGTGCAAATAATTAGTAAAGGGTACGTTTGTTAATTTACTATAGTAGAAGGGTACAAAATGCTATTAACCCTTTTTAAAACTAAAAGTTAACTGGCATTTACCTAATATAAATACTCAGCCTTTTACATAGTTGTATATAAAATGAAAAAATTATAACATATAATATTTTGATTATGTAATTCATTTGTCAATTTCTCCTCTTTAATATAGATTTAATTTAACACTTAACTTTTATGAGATGTTACTCTATCATTAGAATAATTTACGCTATGTTATAAAAAATATATTAACATCTATTTTTTATATAAAAGTCATATTTTAGGGTTCACAATTTATGAATTTTTTTTTAATTTTCATCAACTTTAGTGGCATAACAATAAGACCACATATTTACATAATTTTCATTTCTTTTTTTATTTTTCCTTCATTTGCAAATAGACACATCTTTTTCTCATTTCTTTTTTTTTGGGTTGAAATCGGAGCACTTCAGGGGCGCTCTAACCCTTATCCATTAATAAAACGAGGAGTTGTAAACCCAATCAAATCAAAGTACAGCCAGTAATTCATGAGAAAACAGGGAATCGGAAACGAATGAACTCCCAAAGAAAAAGTGTGACTGAGGGAAGCTATGTAGTCAGCTACAAGGTTCAAAGAAAAAGCATGAATGAAACGAACGTCGTCGCCCCTCACGACACCGCCTGCTACCGTGCTCGAAGGAGAGTAGATGACAGAACCATCTGTCTTGATGGTTGTCCAACCAGTCTGAGGTAACTTCCATCTAATTAACCTCCTCTCTCTAGTTCGTCCGTCCCCGAACAGGTGACCCTCCTTCTTGAAGGTCGAGATAGTGTTATGCCTGAGTTGTTTAGCGCGAAACTGAGTGTGCGTAATGGTCTCAATCTTGCCTTCAAACTGGTGATTATTCCGATTTTTCCACAGGAGCCAGCATGTGCCTGCAAAGAGAGTAGCGTCGATGGACTGGCACAACAGACATGTAGTGAAGGAACCAATGAAATGGGTCAGCCTGAAAGAATTCCTGGTCTGGTTCATGTTCTAAGAACTCCACCCACATACCTCTAGCATATGCGCAGTCTCGAAGGACATGGGTCACGGTTTCGGCACCATCTCCACACACAGGGCATGTCGGTGTCATTGTAAGATGTCGTCTCTGTCGCTCCACGTTGGTGAGAAGACGACCTTGAGTAGCGAGCCAGAGGAAGGCTTGAACGCGCCTGGTCGTCGGAGTACACCAAATTGCACGCCAAATGGGATGGTCGCTGGAGGTTCCTCTTCCTCCGAAGCAAGATCATAAGCAGTGCGCATGGAGAATTTTCCCGATGGAGAAAGCCTCCACACCCTAACGTCTTGACCTTCCTCGTGGGGGACTGGATGGAGCAAGACCCTTGAGGCAATAGCATTGGGTAATAAAGCATTGAGGTAGCTCACATTCCACTCACCATTTAACACCATCTCCGCCACGGTCAAGGTTTGAGCCTCCGGCGGTAGGTTGACAGCAAGCTCCGCAAGGTTAGGTCCATTCAACAGCCATCCATCGGTCCAGAACCGGGTTTGTCGACCACTCTGAATGTTCCACATGGTGGCAGCCGGTAGCAAGTGCCAGATCCCCAGAATACCCCGCCACAAATTAGAAATGTGTCCCGAAGTCTGTGGCTTCAAAACATCCACTGTCTCCTGCAAATATTTGGCACGAACAACTCGAGCCCAGAGTGCGTCGGCTCGGTAAGTAAGTGCCAACTAGCTTCAACATAAAAGCTTCATTGGTCCTTGTTTCCGTCCATAGCCCTAGCCCGCCTTCATCAATTGGGTGGCAGATGGTCTCCCAATCGACTTGGTGGATCTTTCGGCCTGATTTTGTGCTTCCCCAGATGAAGGCTCTAGTTTTCCGATTGATGTAGTCTCTAACATTAGCGGAGAGGAAACTTGTCTGCATAGTATAAGCAGGAAGAGAAGCAAGCACTGATTGCACAAGAGTGATCCTCGCAACTACTGACATGGTATTCGCCTTCCAACCCGCCAGGCGGGTATCGATCCTGTCGATGAGGTCCACGTATGTCGCCTTCGATATCCTATCATGGATAACAGGAACTCCAAGGTAGCGTCCAAGGTTTATCGTCGTTGGGATATCAAGGGCCTCACTTAACATTCTTTGAGAAAAATACCTGAGACTTGGGTTTGCTGATTTGTTGGCCACAGGCAAGGCTGAAGGTCTCAAAACACTGAGAGATAGTTGCGATCTAAGTCGGGGATGCCTCGCCAAATAGGATCAAGTCATCTTCAGAAAAAAGATGTGACAAAGATGGCCCATGTGTAGTAAGCCGAATCGGCTTCTAGGACCCTTTAGTGACACAACCAGAAATAAGATGACTCAACCTTTCCATGCATAAAGTGAATAAATACGGGGATAACGGACAACCCTGCCTCAAACCTCGTGAAGGGGAGAACGTATCAGAGAGGCCACCATTCCATTGCGCACGCATACTGGGGGAAGGGATGCATTGCATGGTGATCTAGATGAAGGGTGGAGGGGCACCCGCGGCTTGAAGCGTATCTCTGAGATTCCCACTTGATTCTATCATAAGCCTTGGCTAAATCAATCTTGACCACCATCCAACCAGTACGACCTTGCTTGGAACGCATCGTGTGGACAACTTCCTGCAGAATGCAAATGTTATCAATGATTTGTCGCCCAGAAACGAAACTCGTCTGCGTTTCTGCAACCAGCTCCTGCATCAGACTCTTCAGACGTTCCGCTAGGCACTTGGTAACGATTTTGTAAGTGACGTTACACCAGCTAATTGGGCGAAACTGCTCCACTTGAGTTGGTTTAGTGACCTTCGGAATAACCACAATTATAGTTTCATTAACCTCCTTAATTGATTCGGGTTGGATCCACCCAGCAAGCGGAGATAAAATCCACCATTGATTCCAAGAGCTTTAAGTGAGCCCATCAATCGAACCGCTAGCTGAATATCTTCTTCAGAAATACAATGCATCATCCCTGCCCACTTATCAGCGGCTACAGGTTTAAAACCGTGCGGAAATTGGGAGTGGAAATATTTGGTATTGGGATCATCCTCAACCCAAACACCCAAAGTATCCTTGAACAACGTAATCCTATTTCTCTTCCGTCGATGCATTGTTTTGGAGTGGAAATATTTGGTATTGCGATCGCCAGAAGAAATCCACTCCAGTCTAGACTTTTGACACCACATAATCTCCTCCTGCAAAAGAATAGTTTCCAACTCATCCCGAGCAGCTGTGAGCTGGCTTTCCACCTGAGCACTAGTGCTGCGAGTTTCCAGTCGTTCAATACGGTTAAGGAGATAAGCTTTCTTCTTTAGGATGTGGCCAAAGACATTGACATTGCAAGCAGTAGCATCTATGGAAAAAGCACGAGCGGATGATGGAAGCTCGTCTCCTTTTCCCCAAGCGGAGGTGGTCATTCGGTTGAAATCCTCATGTGTGAGCCAGGCCGCCGAGAATTTGAAGGGGTTGGGCCCACCAGGTTGGATAATGGCATTGGTGGTGATGAGAATGGGGCGATGATCAGACTTCACCCGAGCAATGTGTCTGACCGTAGCTTCAGGAAAGGTCGTGGCCCAAAGTTGGTTGGTGAAGCCTCTGTCCAGCCTCTTTTTAACGCCGTTGCGAAACCAATTGAAGCTAGGACCAGTGAAGCCTAGGTCCATCAAGCCCGAGTCCTGAACACAGTCATGAAAGTCACGAACTCGGCTAGCATCAAATCTCGCCCCGCCTTCCTTTTCTGGTGCGTGGAGGATGGAGTTGAAATCCCCCGCTAACAGCCAAGGATCAAGGCAATCCTCAGCAATTGTACGAATTTTCTCCCAAAGGGAACGACGTTGAATAAGGCCCGGATTGCCATACTCTGTCGTTAGAAGCCACTGCCGATTATTGCCTCCCTTGACTTGCACATGGAGAAGTTGAGATGAACGTGTGATTTCGGTGATATTAAAACAAACAGATTTCCAAAGAACCCAAATACCCCCAGAGAATCCTATAGCATCGACCACAATATTCTTATCAAACCCCATTTGGTTTATCATGTTAGTAGCCTTATTACCACTGATTCTAGGCTCAACAATGATAACAATATTAGGCTCGAATTTTCGACAATACTCACGAAAAACACGAATGAATCTATTACTACCGGCACCCTGACAATTACAAGTAAATAATTTTAAATCCATTAAAAGTAATAAAAAGAGTAGAGGGTGGGACTCCCTGGATTATGAATCTTGTGTGCACGTCTCGATTGGGGGCCAACACCATCTTCTGCTTGTCTGGGCGTTTGCTTGTTAAATTCAAGAGTTGTCTCACTGCTCCGGTGACTAGCCACATGTGCTCTTGCCAAACAATCAGGTGGATGTGCATGGAGGAAGCCGCCATTAGCTGGGTCGCCCGACTCCTTATGATCCGGTAAAGTTTCAGTGGAGGGAGCTGTTGTATTTCTATTCATATGATGGGATAGAGAGTTCCAGGCTTCAATTTCCTGGAGTGTTAGTAGGCATGTCCAATCGGTTTCGGTTTTTTGGGTTAAACCGAACCCGAACCAAAAACACAGAAGTCGGGTTTTGGGTTTTCGGTTTTGATGTAACCCGAAAACCGGTAAAAACCCAAAAACCCGAAACTGTGATTGGAGTAAACGGTTACGTTTTCTTGGATAAGTGGACCTCTTAGGGTTCGACACTGGCGACTGCTCGACTGCTCTGCTCGTGGCTTCGCGAAACTGAGCCTCCCTTCTCAATTGACAGTTCTCACCTCTACCAGTTCAACTTCTCGCCGTCGTCAACGTCCTCGCTGCCAACATCCTCGCCGCTGTCAATCTCCCGATTCGCCTTCCCTCCGCCTCCCAGCAATGCAGCAATCCATCTGGGTTCGAGGCTTCAATTAGGTCATCTGGGTTCGAGCCTCTTTCAACCGCCGTAAAAGCATCACGAGAACAGGGAGTCGCGCTTGCTGCCACCGCACTCTTCTATTGCGAGACCTGTTTCTGTAGCCGCCATCTTGCTACCGGAGAGCAGTACAGATCTTGTGTCAACGACCAGTAGAAAACTCCTCGGAGAGTCAGAGGCAATCGAGACCTTGAAATTGTCGATTTGCCCGGCAAGGCAGCTACCCATTTGCGTTTGATTTTCTTCTTCCCAAATTGCTTCCCGCAGTCTTTTCATCGGCAAACCTGAGTCAGACTCAGAACTAAGACCTATGGCATCCCAGTAAGTCATATTCATCCCATATTGTCATTTCTAGTGCTTAATGATGTTGATGATGGCAACTTCAATACGGTCAACTGAGCCATCTTTAGTACGGTCAACTGAGCCACTAATCGATTCCACATCTCGTGTTGCTGGTCTCTTGATGCTGCTGTTGATGATGGCAGCCTGCACATACAGAGTCATAGATGCCAAATATAGTACATGTGTTTGAATGAATCAATGAGATGGAAACATGGACCAAAGTTATAATTAATTTGGATAATGTTCTTGTCATATTATGTATACAGTATAGAAATGGGTTAGTTTTGGAATTGAATGGAGAGGGTGACAGAGGCAGATAGAGAGAGATGATTTGGTATTTATGGTCGAAACCAAGTTTATGTTCTTGTTTCCTTTTCATGGCTGCCTGTTTGAAAATTTGGGAAATGCTCAATTCATGATCGTTTTTCTACGAAACAATGAAACCTCATATTTCGATGCAACTCTTGGGTGTTTTGTAAGTTTCGTTAGGTGATATATGAACAGATAAAAAGATGAAGGATGCTAAGGATGCTTTCAATGCCAGTATTGATTGTGGCATAACCTTGTTTGATACAGCTGAAGTTTATGGCTCTAAATTTGTTTTCTTTAAGAGAAAGTGTCTCCAGAGTTATTGAATGTTAGCTATTTGCATCCATTATTAATTCTGATTGAGCTTTGCTAGCCATGACTAGACTCTTAAGTTTGAACTCATACCCAGAATGTGTTGGATGTCAAGTCAAGTCGTGATCTCGGGTGTGAGCTATAAATGAAGGATTGTGTGAGCTTTGCTAGCTATATGGTTGTTCTTAAGTTCTAAACTCACGTTTTTCATTTTGGCAGGGAGAGTGAGGCACCATCGGCTTCTCGTCCTAGACGTGGAGGACGCTCTAAGGGTACCAGAATTCCTACTCCTGAACCGTCTTTCGATCCTGCTCCTGCACCGTCTACCGGTACCACCAATGTACTTCCTGCTCAAAGAATAGACGAGGAGACAATTTCAAGAAAAAGGAAAGAAAAGTCTGACGTTTGGTCACACTTCAAGCGTTTTATGAAGGATGGAGTGGACAAAGCAAAATGCATTTACTGCAATGGTGAGCTGATAGTCGACCATCTATCATCTTCTGGAGGTCAGGTACACACTCTCGGCACTTGGAAATTCGATCAGATTGATGCTAGGAGAGCTTTAGCGGAGATTATTATCATAGATGAATTACCATTTAGGTATGTTGAACATGAAGGGTTCAAACGGTTTATGGCTCGTGTTTTTCCAATGTTTTTGTTACCTAGCCGTCAGACCGTTAGAGAGGATTGTATCAAGGTGTTCTTTGAAAATAGAGAGTTGCTGAAGGACTATTTCAAGACTAAGTGTTTAGGGATGGTATCGCTCACAACTGATACTTGGACTTCTTTGTCCAATCTCAATTATATGTGCATTACTGCTCATTTCATTGGTAGAGATTGGAAATTGCATAAAAGAATTATTAACTTTGTCCAAGTTACAAAACATTCTGGAAGTGAAATTGGAAAATAGTTGGCTAGTTGTTTGGTGGAGTGGGGCATTAGGAAGGTGTTTTGTATAACAATGGACAATGCTAGTGTCAATGATGTGGTTGCTATCCATATGAAGGAACAGTTGAAAGAGTGGGGATCAGATATTTTGGATGGAAAGTATATGCAGATGAGGTGTGTGGCTCACATTATTAATTTGGCTGTGAAGGATGGGCTTAAAGAAACTGGTAAATCTGTGGAGCGAGTGAGAGAGTCTGTGAAGTGGGTTAAATCTACACCAGCTAGGAGCAGAAAATTCAAAGATTGCATTGATTTTGAAAAGATAGTGTCGAATAAATTTGTTTCGTTGGATGTAGCTACAAGGTGGAACTCAACGTATCTGATGTTGGAATCTGCGCCATTTGAGAAAGCATTTCAGACATTAGCTAGAAATGATAAGAAATTCAAGAAACATCTCAATGAAAAAAAAATATGGAATGGAATTATGGAAAGCCTTGGTATCACAATTTCTGATGATTGGTCTAGTGTGGGCAGGTTGATTGATTACCTGAAGCTATTCTATGATTTGACTGTTCGAGTTTCTGAGAGTTCTTATGTTACTTTACACCTCTTGTTTGATGAGGTATGTGAAATGTATACTATGATATCTGACTGGGCTGATAGTATAGATTTTGAGGTGTCTTGCATGGCTGAGAGAATCAAGTCCAAACTTGCCAAGTATTGGTTTGAAGATGAGTTGGAGAATTCCAAGATGAATCGGTTGTGTTATATGGCAGTCATATTAGATCCTAGGCGGAAAGTTGAATATCTTGAACAAGCTTTGAAGAAGGTATATGGTGAGAGCAGGGGTAAAGTTTTGGTCGAAGAGGTGAAAGATGAAATGCGTCTTCTGTTTGACCATTACAAGAATAGGCTCGGACTTCCTGGAAGTTCTCCCATTGTGATTCAGGAAGATGTGCAAGAACCTAGTGGAAGTGTGGATGGGAAGAAGAAAGGGAAGATATGGGGTGATTTTAGGAAAATGAAAAGAGAGGTCATTCTGAAAGGAACTAGAAAAAGTTCCAAATCTGAGTTTGATAGGTACCTTGAGGAGGAGGAGGATGATGAAGTGGTTACACGAGCATTGGTGGGTTCAGAAGAGGATGAATACAAGTTTGACATCTTGGGATGGTGGTCGCGAAGTGGGATGAAATATCCTACTATTTCTGAGATGGCTAGGGATATTCTTGCTGTTCCTATTTCCACTGTTGCTTCTGAGTCGGCATTTAGCACAGGAGGTCGAGTTTTAGATTCGTTTAGGACCTCCTTATCCCCTGAAGATTGGATAAGATCTTCAGACTCTGAGTTGGTGGATGATGGAGAAGATGAGGGTGATGAAGTGGTATTTCAAAATGGTAAAGACTTAATCTTTCTCTTTATTCTTATATTTGTTATCTTGATAAAGTCATATTCTAACAAGTTGTTATTGTTTATGTTATCCAGTATATGCAGCTTTTCAAACTCGGAGTGCAAGTGCACCTGCAGGACCTAGTGGAAGCTCTCGTGCAGGACCTAGTGGAAGCTCTCCTGCTACCCATGTTTTGGTCCCGAGTCCTACTATGTCACAAGTGGAAGAAGACTATATCGACGACAATTCTGATGAGAATGATGAGACTTATGTAGATGTAGAGCCTGATGAGGAGTGATAATGGTAGTAGTGTTTATCTTGTATGGTGGATGGATTTTTATTTTACTTGGATGTTATCATTTGAGAATTGTAAAACTAATGTGTTTAATTACGAGTTGAAGATAATCTCATCTATGATTGTCGGTATTTTATGTTGAACAAAATTATTTATAATTTTGCTCCAAACACCAAATATTTTTTTGCATATGATAGTTGATATACCTTCAATTTTGGACCTATGGTATTACTAAAACATTTAATTATAAGAAAATCCACAATTAAATAAAATATGATTAAGTTACGTATACAATATATTTAAGTAATTTACTTTGTCTCTAAACTACTAATACTCTTTAATCGTTAATAGTATGTCTATAGTTATAGAATGCATAAAACTAAATATTTTAATAATTAACTAATATTTTAATAATAAACTAATATGTAAATATTAATTTTATACTATTCATGTCCCATAAAATTAAACATAATGGTTAAATAAGAATGCACAAATAATAAGAATAAAACAAGCAAAATAATGTAAAATTCAAATCACAAAAGTAATAAAAAAAAAACTCAAAACGGTTCGATTTCGGGTTCATCCGACCCGAATCGAACCCGTCAGCATATATCTCGGGTTCCAGCACCCGAAACCCACAAAACACAGTTCGTTTCGGTTTGTGGGGATCGGCTTTCGGGTTTTCGATTTTTCACGGTTTTCGGGTTCGGTTACCCGACCGGAACCAAACCGACAGGCCTAAGTGTGAGAGTAACTGATCTCTCCTTGGAATCATTGCGTCTGTTGTGCTTAGGAGGAGGCCGAATCTGGATAGCTTTTTTTGTTGTAGCTATATGGGAGGAGGCCGAATCTGGATAGCTTTTTTTGTTGTAGCTATATGGGTTCCTTTCTTTGCCAATGAAGACGAGTCTTTGGATTTTTTTCATTCTGGAAACAACAGAGGTAGAGGTATGTTTGAGCTCCGGTAACGAGTTTGGTATCAAAGGAGGGAGGTTGAACATTTGGGTATTAGTCTCATTTGGCCCCAATATGTTAATAGTTGGAGGGTGGGTAAGTTTGGGACGCGTGGGAGTGCTAGGGGAAGGGTAGAGGGTTGAGAGTCTGCATTTTTATGATCGGTTACAGGTGGGTTGGATGTAAATTTGTGGGACTTAGTGGATGTGGGTTTAGGCCTAATGAAACCTTTTTCTTGGGGTAAAAAATTGGTGGGAGGGGCAGCCTTGGTAGTTGAAGAAATAAAGTGTGCAGAAGAGAGAGTGTCGTCTGTCACTTTACCTTTGAAAGCTAGGGATGGAGAAAGGCCACTTGCATTGTAATTTCCTCCTTTTGTCTTTTCTTCTACTGAGTGCAGCTGGCAGCATTGGATGAAGCATGTGCTTGACTTGATTCAACATGGTGTTGATTGCGGTATGGGTCTCGGGAAGCTGACATGGGTGAGTTATTGCCCTTCTCTCTCCATTGGATTTGGTATTCGCTGGAATTAATTGCGGAATGGGAGCATTCTGCTTGGATGAACTTTTCGGTGGATTGATCGGTAGGTACGCTGGTTGCTGATATGCCAGCAACGGTGGAGTGTGTCGGTGGTTTGTTCTTGTTCGCCCGTCTGGGTTTCCTCTTCACGAT